CCCCCGCCGGCATCCTGCCCTCCAAACCCCTCTTTCCCCCCCCTCTCTGTCTCCTCCCCTCCCCCCTGCACATCCTCCCCCTCTGCTGGTCTGTGCGCCACTGCGCTTTCCACTGCCATGTCGAGGTCCACCCACAACTCAAGCATCAACTCCGATGCCACCTCTCCCGACCCGTCGGACGTTGACTCCCCCGGTAGCTCAATAGACCCTGAGGACGTCGGCGGCTTCGACTCTGAGGGTGCGCCTCGCTCCCATTCCTTCGGGCCAGCTCTTCCCCCTCTCCCTGCCGCCGATACGGTGCCTGACCCATCCCCCCCCCCCTCTGCCGATACATCTAGCCGAGAACGACGCCGCCATCCGGAGGCGTAATGTCCTGGAGCATCTTTGCCTCATCGAGAAGGAGTTCTTCGAGCTTCGTGACCATCTCTTCATCGAGAAGGCCTCGGCCATCGAGCGCGAAATTGAGCTGGTGTCCAAGGGTATGTCCCTGCTCGACCGCCCAGCCATGCGCCTGGCACTTCTTCTCTGACCCCCTGCTCGCCCTGCTCACCCTCCGGCCCTGCTGTCGACCACGCTCGGCGCCACTCAGGCACGCATCCGGACCTGGATGACAACCTGGACAACCTGCTCCTGCGTCGGTCGGACAAGTTGGCCCGAGCCCTGCACTGGTACAATTACCGCCTGCGCAAGGAGGAAATCGTGTACCAGGCCGAGTGCCGCACCATCAATGCGGATTTCGACAACAGTTACAAGGGCGCTCGCGACAAGCTTCTCGAGCACCTTGCTGATGCGCGTCGACGCCTGGACGACGAGCGCCTGTCCAGCTTCGACCTGGGTGTCGGTGCGTACTCCTCCCACCCCCCCGTTGCCATGGCACCTGTCTGGGCACCACACCGACTCACCTGGGTCTGTTTTCTCCTCCCCCCCCCCCCCCCCCCCCTTCTGGCAGACCCCACGTCGGAAAGTCACAACCGCATCGCTCCGCCGCGGAAGCTCCGCCGGAGGACCGGCTCGGCCAACATGCCGCCGAATAGCGGCTCGTCCCTGACCGGCCCGGCCAGCAGCGATGCGTCTGACAACAAGAACACCAAGAAGCGCGTGACTCAGGGTCCAGCCATCGAGGACCGGCTTGTCGACACGGACGCCCGTTCGGATGCCGACCGGGTATTGAAGGTGTGTGTGTGTGTGTGTGTGTGTGTGTGTGTGTGTGTGTGTGTCTTTACGTCCCACCTATTGGTCGGGGGCTGCCTGCCTGCACGCTGGTTGGCCGGCCACTGACTGTCCTTTTTCCCTCTTCCTCCCCTTCGCCACCTTCGCATTTCCTCCCGAAGATCATCCACCAATCGCCCGGCGGTTCGGAACTCATTTCCCGGCTGGGCCTGGCCATCCCCGAGCCGGCCCCTGTCGTGACGCCGGCCCCAACACAGAAGTCCAAGCGCTCGCGCCTCTGAGCCGGCGAGCCGGACAGGACGGCCGACGGGGCTCCCCCCGGCCTGCCTCTTGGGCACATTCGCATACGCCTGCCTTCTTGTGCCTTCCCCTGTCTCCCTTCGCCTGGCCAGCCGGCCCCTCCTCTTCTTTCGGCCACCTCGTGGCGGCAGATGCATGCACATGTGTGTAGATGCACATGTGCGCCTCTGTCCACGCGCATATGCCTACCTCCGGGCCTTGCCCTGCTCTTTTGTGCCTCTCAGGAAGGAGTGTCCTCAGCAAGAAACCAAAACAATACAAATCCCACATCAATGCATGCGTGCGCGGAGAGGGGGGGGGGGGGGGGCGCACGAGGCCGTGCCCGAGAGGGACACAAGGTCGTGGGCATTTATTGGCATCTTTCTTGCCTTCCTCGATCGGAGTGGCGGGAGACCCTCCGGCGAGACCTCTCTGTCTCTCAGAGGGCGGCCGGCCACGGGCAGCCAGCGGACGTCGGGCAAACACTTAGAGGTTGGCGCCGGCGGCGGTGGCGGCCTCCTCGATGACCTTGATCAGGTTGATGTCGTTGAAGGAGAGGCCGGAGCAGTCGTGCGTGGACATGGTGATCTCCACGCGGTTGTAGACATTGAACCACTCCGGGTGGTGGTTCTTGGACTCGGCCACCAGGGCAACGTGAGACATGAACCCGAAAGCATGGACAAAGTCCTTGAAGAGGAAGGTCTTCTTGACGGCGTCGCGCCCCTCGACCATGGTCCAGCCCTTGGCAAGCAGGGGAGCAAGGTGGGTGCTGCGCTCGTCGGCGGTGAGCAGGGTCGGGACGGCCATCTTGTCGAAGAGGATGGAAGGGGGGAGAGGGGGGGAGATGCGCGCGTCCAGAGGGGAGGGGCGTGCGGGAGATGGGGGGAGGGGGTCTGTGTCATTGCCTCGCAGGCGCCAGCAAGTTGGGGGCGGACTTTTCATCGGCGCTCGCCTGGGATGTGACAACAGCCGTGTCTGAATGTGTCCGCGGGGGGGGGGGACAACCACCACGCCGGACACGAGGCCAACGTCTGAACGCGGGCCCCATACATCGGGGGACTGACTTGCCCGTGCCCCGGAAGGCCGGGCCGGGTGCCTTCCTCGCCACCGGACAAAAAGGGGGGCAGCCGGAAGACAAGGGTGACCCGAGGGGCCTAGATGCCTCCTCTGGCATCCCTGAGCTCCCCCCGCACCGGAGGCATATGACCAAATTCCAAGGGAGATGCCCCACGTGCTAGTTCTGTGAGATCACACCTCCTTGGTTTGTTTAGGAAAGGCCCCACGGGGCCAGCGCGCCCTCCTGGGCCAGGCGTTCGCCCCGGTAACGATGGAGAAGCGTCCTTGCCGGTGGGGTGGGGCAACCTTCGGCGGTCGGGCGCGCTGTGGGTGTACGGGCGGGCCCCGGCTGGGGGACGAGGGGGGGGGGGGGGGGGGGGGGGGGGGGGGGGGGGGGGGGGGGGGGGGGGGGGGGGGGGGGGGGGGGGGGGGGGGGGGGTGATGTTGTGCACTGGGCAGAAGACGCGGGGGATGCGACCGGCCACCATCATCTCACCACCCTCCGCCCGCCCCCTCATCATCGCCCATGCATCCCCCCCCCCCACCCGGTCGGCCTGTCGGATGGGTGTGGGCGCGGGCGGGGGCGGAGGTGTGGGCGACCGGGCCGGCTGGCCAGGTTAGCCTTGCCGTATTAATTAGCCACCCTTCTCCGGAGGTTTTCGGCCCCTGCGAGGCAGCCTCCCCCGGGACCGCACGCTTGAGCTGCATGCCTTTGGGGCTGGCAGTGGGGGGGGGGGGGGGACACGCATGCAGGTGGGACGGACCGGCTAGTTACTAGGGGAGGGTGAGCATTTGACGGGCCGCGAAATGTGACACCTGGCCCGGTGGCCCGGCGGCGGATGTTTGTGCGTGGGGGCACGCGTCTGTGTGTGTGTGTGTGTGTATGGGGACTTGAGTGGGCGTGTGCGTAGGAGTCAGGCGGGCAGTCAGACGAGGGCATGCTGGTGCAGGTACGCCGGCCGTGTGTCCATTGCCTGGGCGGCCCGCAGCCGACCGCGGCCCCTTGAGTTTGGGCAAAAATGGCGATGCACACTGCCGGCGCCCCCTGCGCGGGTTATGCCCAGAAACGCGCATTAACCACGCGCCCCTGGCCAGAGCAGGAGGGCCCAGCGTGAGAGGAACAGCGGCGCCGCGACGCCAGCCGGGCTGCCCTCATCGGGCGGACCCCGAGGATGGGTTGGCAGTATGCGCATTTTCTCACGCTATTCAAAGTCCATGAACAAATATCGGCACCGCCCGGCGTCCGCGTCATTGGGCCTTCCGAGCGGCGGAGGGCACCAAGAGGCGGGTGATGTCGGACGCGGGGTTCTCTCGCCCTCTCTCTCTTTCTCTCTTCCTCTCTGTTTCGGCCCAACGTTCCGGGCCTGTCTTCGCCGGATCGGCGCACGCCTCCCCCGATCGGGCCCTCCCTGCCTGAACGCCTTCCAGTACGGTCATCGGCTCCCCCTTGCTTCGCCATCTCCAGGCCGGATGGCCTGACGGTAGGCCGCGGTCGTGCGTCAGGCGTCGCGGCTGCGAGTCGGCCTCCTGACGGGAGGCCCGTCCGGGGCAGGGAAGGGGGGGGGGAAGCGAGGTCATCCCTCCTTGGCCCCCACTCCCCGCCGCACCCCCCGGGCACTATCCCTGCTCTTGTGGGGGGGATTGCCAATCTAGCCGGTGTTCATTGGCACAATCAGGCTTCCGGCCGGACTAGCCGTCCGAGAGTCTAGAGCGCGTTTGTCCCCCGGGCATGCGCGTCCCCCCCCCCCTCCTCCTCCCCCCCCCCCCTCGCTCATACACACACATTTTTCCATTCGTTGCGTATCTGTGTGCATCACATCCGCACCAGCGAAGGGAGCTATCTCGAAGTCAGCCGGCTGGGCCAAACACGGGGGGCACTGCGCTGTCGTGGAGCTGCAGGGAGAAGGCCTCCCAGTCGGGGGAGGCGGAGGATGTGTGCTCCCTGCGCTTGATAAACCCACGGCCCCAGCCGGGACCTTTGAGCGGGTTGTGTGGGGAGGCAGGATGCTGGCCACCCTGCCCGGCCACCCTGCCTTAGAGAGAGAAAGAGAACCCACATCTTTTCCCTCCCCGTCCCCCCCCCCCATTTAAATGCCCCGACCGGCCGGGCCGCATGCGGGGACTCGCCGGCACCCCTTCCCCGCCCCCCCCCCCGCCCCCCCCCCCCCCCCCCCCCCCCCCCCCCCCCCCCCCCCCCCTCCCCCCCCCCCCCCCCCCCCCCCCCCGCGTTTTCCCCCCCCCCCCCCCCCCCCCCCCCCATCCCTACCCCGCCTCGCAGGCACGCACCCTGTGCAATCCCTCTCCCTCGGCCATCCCGCCGCCCTCCGCCTCCCTACCCTCCGCCCGCTCCAAAAAGGTATCTGCCATTGCCCAGCCCCTGGGTCACTTTCTCGGGCGTGCTCTGACCCCCCCCCCCCCCCCCCCCCCCCCCCCCCCCCCCCCCCCCCCCCCCCCCCCCCCCCCCCCCCGCCCCGCCCCCACTTAGCCCCCTCCCTTCGGCCGCTCTTCGTGACCCATTTACCCATGGTCCCCCCACCGCCATCGGCCAACACGGCCGTCAACTATGCCAAAAACGAGTTCGAGGGCAACATCATGTCCTCGACCGAGGGCGACCTGAAGGACGACCGCATGGTTTTCCATGACAGCCACGACACCTTCCTGGCCGGCTACAACAAGGTGTGTCGCAGCAGGTCGCCAATGCCCCCTCCGCCCCCGCCCTTGGGACACGCCGTCTGACCAGCTCCCCTTGCCAACCCGCCTGCACCTGGCCCGTCCCGGCCACCGCGCAACAGAGCCCGCCCCCGGGTTTGCTCCTGCGCAAGATCGAGAAGGTACCGTCTCAGTCTCCCCGCCCCGCCCGCCCCCCCCCCCCCTCCCCTGGCCGGGGACGGCGCACGGGACGGCCGGGCCGAGGGCGAGGAGAAATGGCCAGCCCGAGTTGGGCCGCGCACGCGTGGCCGACATGGGACACGGGGCCCTCCAGGGGGGAGTAAAAAGGGGGGGGCGTTGCAGAGCGCTGGAATGTGGGGCCCGGGGCCTCGCCCGCCAGGACGGGGCCCAGCCGCCGCGCCGTCCATCCCCCCCCTCCAGTCACTCGGCTCCTGTTCCTGGGAGCTGGCGCCTGGCGCAAACACCTGCTGACACCTTTTGCTCTGCCTACTGCTGCTGCCCCCACTGACATCCCCCCATGCAAGTAGCTCTCGCCACGCGGCCCCGAGGACCTGCCCCTGGACCAGTCCATCACCGAGGTCGACCTGTCCAACATCGCCACCCTCGAGTTGTGGAACAAGATTCGCAAGGACTGCGAGAGTGTCGGTGCGCAAAGATCCCCCCTCCCTGCCCGCCTCCTCTGCTCGCTTGCCATCCTTCGTGCCCCTGGTCCGGGGAAGTCGACTGTTCTCCCCGCAAGGGGGGCTCCCAAGGGCGTGGCCGAGAAGGGAGGGGAGCCACAATGCCGGGCTCCGTGATACATTGGCTGACCCTCGGATGACATGCGCAACAGACACCAGCTCCATCCAGCGGTCCTTCGTCAACCATGTCTACTCGACCCTCGCTCGGACCCCGTACAACCTGGACGAGTTCGGCGCCTACCAGGCGGCCGCCCACAGGTACGTTCTTGAGGGCCTGTCTTTGGCCAGGGATCCTGTGCCGGCCAGCCTGGCGAACATAATACATGGCATGCCTGCCGGGAGGCCCGCTCTCACCCCGCTCCCCCCATTCCATGGGCCACGGATCGCAGCGTGCGCGATCAGCTCATCCACAAGTGGATCTCCACGCAGCAGCACTTCACCCGGAGCAACCCCAAGCGCGTGTACTACCTGTCCTTGGAGTTCCTCATGGGTCGGACCATGCAAAACTGCGTGATCAACATGGACATGGAGGAGGCCTATTCCAAGGCCCTGCGCGAGATGGGCCTCGCCTTTGAGACGCTGTACGACCAGGAGACCGACGCGGCGCTCGGCAATGGCGGCCTCGGCCGGCTGGCCGCCTGCTACATGGACTCGCTGGCCACGCTGGACTACCCGGCCCTGGGCTACGGGCTCCGATACACGTATGGCATCTTCGAGCAGCGCATCCGCAATGGCGAGGACCAGGTCGAGTACCCGGACTACTGGCTGCGCTTCACCAACCCCTGGGAGGTGGCTCGCGTGGATGTCGCCTACCCGGTGGGCTTCTATGGCAGTGTGCACAATGACTCGGCCGGGCGTGCCGGCCAGCCCGGCCAGCCGGCCGCCCGGTGGGAGCCGGCCGAGTTTGTCCAGGCCGTCGCCTATGATGTCCCGATCCCCGGCTACGATACCGACACGGTGCTGAACATCCGCCTGTGGTCGAGCAAGCCCCAGCGTGTGCGTCGTCGGCCGGTGGTCTGTGTGCCCATGCCCGGGCCCCGATGTGGAGATCGAGGCCATGGCCCGGGGCAAGGAAAAGAGAGACAGAGCGCGCGAGCGAGAGGGAGGGGGGGGGGGGGAGCGAAGGCGAAGCGAGCGGCAGGAACAGGGCTTCCGCATGCATGTTACTCCCTTCTTGCTATGTGACCAAGGACAGCGTCTCTAACGTGACACCACCGGGCCCTGGGCCGGGCGCTCCGTTGGCTTGCGCTCTCCTGGCCGGACACGCATGCTTGCATGTGACTTGGACATATAGCAATTCGACCTTTCCTCCTTCAATGACGGTGAGTACGAAAAGTCCGTTGCCGAGAAGCAGCGCGCCGAGAACATCACCTCGGTTTTGTACCCCAACGACAACACCCCGGCCGGGAAGGAGCTCCGCCTCAAGCAGCAGGTACGGCCCAAGTGCTCTGCTCCATGGCAGCCATCGGGCGGGGGGGGGGTGGCGGGTTGACTTCTCAACACCACAGTAGCGCGGCGTATTATATTATGTTTTTTTTCCCGCAGAAACCCCCCCCCCTCCCCCGGACCCGCCAGACACAGGTGGGGGCGTCCCCCCCCCCCCCCCCCCTCCGAGCACAGTACTTCTTCGTGTGCGCCACCCTGCAGGACATCCTCCGGCGCTTCAGCAAGCTCAACCTCCCCTGGAGCGAGCTCCCCAACAAGGTGGGCATCCAGCTGAATGACACCCACCCCTCGCTGGGCATTGTGGAGCTACAGCGTGTCCTGGTGGACGAGCACGGCCTCGAGTGGGACATCGCTTGGGCCCTGGTCCAGCGGGTGTATGCCTACACCAACCACACGGTCCTGCCGGAGGCCCTGGAGTGCTGGCCCGTGTCGCTGATGGAGCGCCTCCTGCCTCGGCACATGCGCATCATCTTCGACATCAACCTGTACTTCCTGCGGTCGGTGGAGCAGCGCTTCCCCGGGGACTACGAGCGCCTCCGCCGCATGAGCATCATCGAGGAGGGCCACCAGCAGATGGTCCGCATGGCGTACCTGGCGGTGGTTGGGTCGCACACTGTCAACGGTGTGGCGCGCATCCACTCGGACCTTGTTCGGTCGAAGGTGCGTTCTCGGCGCCGGGCTCCGTGCATGCTTTTTTGTTGGCCCGTTCATTCTCCTTGCGTGGGGGGGGCTTCGCCATCCCGGAGGAGGGGCCGGCACCGGGCAAGAGTGGGCCGGCCGAGGGGACGGGGCCCGGGCGGGGGAGGGGGGAGCAGGCGGCAGGTCCACACTGTGGGCGGACCGGAGCCCAGGGCTGCCTCGTGGTGTCTAACGCCGAGTGACACTCCTTTTGGCGTTGGGGGGCTTGCCGGCGCCGGCGCATCCGCCGCGTCGGCCCTTCGACCTGCATGGGGCGGGCGCAGCTCTTCCGCGACTTTGCCGAGTTCTACGGCGACGACAAGTTCGTCAACATCACCAACGGCATCACCCCTCGGCGGTGGCTGCATGTGGCCAACCCCCAGCTGAGCGCCCTGATCACCAAGCGCCTGGGCTCCAACCGGTGGCTGAAGGACCTGACCGAGCTGTCCCGGCTCAAGGCCTTCGCCGACGACGAGGACTTCCAGCAGGAGTGGCGCCAGGTGAAGCGCACCCGGAAGGAGTCCCTGGCCGAGTACATCCAGAAGCATGTGGACACCGCCGGCGAGGGGCCCGTCAATTCGGAGGCCCTCTTCGATGTGCAGGTCAAGCGCATTCACGAGTACAAGCGCCAGCTGATGAACATCCTTGGCGTGGTCCACCGGTACCTGCGCATCAAGGAGGCGTCGGCCGAGGAACGCCGCGACATTGTCCCGCGTGTGTTCATCTTCGGCGGCAAGGCCGCCCCGGGTGCGTGACTCGGGGCATATTCTGTCGTGGGGGGGGGGG